TTTTTATTATAAATACCATGCCATTCATTTGAAATTCTAAATGCAATTGGCCACTTAAAAGTTTAATCAAATGATGCAGACTGAAACTATTCAAAACTCAAGCCCCCATCAAATGTTCCCGAACAAGGCAGTTTTGGAGGCTGGTTCTTCAAAACAGGGAAAAACAAATTACCACCTTATGTAAACTCTTCCAAAGCATACAGAAATGGGCAATTATTCAATTCATTTTGCCATGCTAGTGCTCCTTGGTTCAAAAAACATATGAGAACACCCCATGAAAAGAACACTTGAGCCAAGTTCACTCATATAGCAGCAAATATTCTAAATAATTTAATAGCACATTCAACATAGCAGTGAATTAAATAAACAGGCTGTGTCTGAAGCATACAAATATGATTTAACGTTAGAAAATTCTTTCAAGTATAATTCCCTGTACAAATTAGGAGGAAAAAAAACCCTTCATTATATCAATGGGTACATAAAGGGCCTTTGAAAGAAATTAAACACAAGGTCATGGTAATAAAGAATATATATATAAATATATAGTAACATATATATAGTTACTATATATAAAAATATACAGTAACATTAGCACTTCCATTTCCTAAGGTCTATAGCAAACATTTCAATGTGAAATGTTAGAAGAATTCCCATTAAAGTCATGGACAGACAACACAAAAAAAATGTATGCTCTCTCCTCTCTTCTTCAAAACTGCACTTGAACACATAGAGCTATGGATGTGAAAATAAACAAGAGATATGAATATTGGGAAAAGGTAATATTTGGTGACAATATTATCTATAAAATATTTTATCTGTAATATTATCTATAGTCAAAGGAACAGATATGTGAAATATTCAAATGAGTAAGAGACTTCAGAAAAATGTTATATGGAAGATCACTATAGCAAACTCAAGACCCTTGCCACCTAAAAGCAATAACTAATTAGTACATGGAATAGAAAACGTCCCATTCACAATGTTGACAAAATCCAAAAATTACCTAAAATCCCAACAAAAATGTACAAAACATTAATGGAGACAAATATAAAATTTGCTGATAGAAGCAGCTAAAAGAATTCCCAAATAAAGCAGTAAAGCCTATTTATTAATGGGGAACAGAATATTATAAAGATGCACATTCTCTTTAAATTATTTACAGATTTTGTTCCTTACCTGTGATGACCAAGATGACCATCAAGTTCAGACTGTTGACTTCCTCTCCTCAAATCAAACCTCAAACAACTACAGAAGGGAGAGAGGGGGGGAAAAATCAACAACAAACTGAAAACAACAAAACATAAGCAAGCCCTGGGGAACACTGAAGACAGTGGTGAGCTGGTACTTGTGTTTGGGTGGGGGCGTGGAAAGCAATAGGGAAGTTGGGTGGGGCTGTAGGTTCCATGTTGCAGATGACAGGGTAGGTAGGAGGAAAAGTTTCAACTTCTGCCCCTACTTCTTGTGGAAATCTGAGGCAGGCCCTCAGACCACACATGCCAGTAGCCCTGGGGTAATACAGGCATCACTCAGAGAAACTGAGGGTTCAGTTCTAGACCACCACAATAAAACACATATCGCACTAAAGCTAGTTGTAATCTTTTTGCTGGTGGAGGACCATGCCTTCATTGTAAAACAAACAAACAAACAAACAATCCTAGAACATCTGTGAAGCACAATAGAGCAAAACACAATAAAAGATCGGATGATTAAGGGCCCCAAAGTTTGTGCTAATAACCACCTGAAACCATTTTAGTGGTCGATGAGGGTAAAACGGATCAAATATATGGTGATGGAAGGAGAACTGATTCTGGGTGGTGAACACACAGTGTGATATATAGATGATATATTACAGAATTGTACACCTGAAACCTATGTAACTTTACTAACAGTTGTCACCCCAACAAACTTTAATTAAAAAAAAACAAAAACAAATGGAGACCAGCCTTGAAAACTCCCTGAGCAGACAAATCCAGTTTAGTCATACAAGCAAAACTTAAGTCTGCTTGTTTTGCGAGACTAACGACCTGATTCATTTCTTGCTTATGCCTCTGGAAAGCATAAGGAAAACTTAAACTGTTGCCCCAAATTGATTCCAGGTAACCACTAACCAATTCCCTATCATTAAGAAAATTCTAATATTATAACCAATCTCTGCGAAGAATAAACAGTCACTGTCTTCTCACTATATAAGCTGCTTTTAGACAACATGCTCCTGAGTTTCATTCCATGTTTGGTTTGAGTGCTCCTGGTTCACAAACTGTCTTTTTGGTGTGTACACAATAAACTTTTGCTAATTACTACTTTGGCGATTCATTGGTTCTACTTCTGTTATTTGTGAACTTTTTTTTTAAAAGATTGTATTGGGGAATTGGGGAAGGGGAACAGTGTTGGGGAATTGGGGAAGAGGAACAGCCAAGTTGTTGTCCTTCAACCTTAGTTGTGGAGGGCGCAGCTATCTCAGTTCCAAGTCCAGTCGCCATCCGGCCGCCTGTCGGCAGCTTGTGTCTGCTCAGCTCAACATGCCGTGTTCATTCTTAGTTGCAGGTGGGCACCATCCCATGTGGGAGTCGAACTGGCAACCTTGTTGTTAGGAGCATGTGCTCTCACCAGCTGAGCCATCCTGCCCCCTGTTGGCAGCTCAGCGGCAGGTCAGCTCGGGTGCAGCTCACTGGTGCATGTGGGAATCAAACCAGCAATCCTATTGCTCAGAGCTAGCGCTCTCAACCATGTGAGCCACTTGGCTAGCCCTTATTTCTGAACTTTTGACAGTGGGTGAGGACTGGCCTTTCCAAAAGTTATTTTAATAGTAGATAAAGAATGGACTGGAAATAGAATAGGAAGTATTAGAGTGATCCACACATAGCAAGTGTAGATATTCTTTCATGAAATTGTATACCTGTTGTAAATGTACACTTGGTAGAGATGTAAAGTATATTTTTTACTAGAAATGAGGATTAAGAAGATGAAAACCTCTGCACTTGAGGATACAATGTTAGATAACCTTCAAACAGCAGGCCCTCCTGAAATCCTGTGGCTCAGCTTCTATGTAGAAAATAAATGTTTCCAAAGTCTGTTGGCTGGTGAAGAGACTCCACTGGAAGTTGTGCTTCCTCTCTGATCCTCCCCCACAGTCATGGGCACTACAGCTCCCCATCTAGCATCTGGTCTGGGACCCAGAGTGGCAAGGGTTGCAGCTGGGCAAATGCTCAGAGCTGACAGTGACAGGGCAGATCAGCGCCAGCATTTATTCAAAAAGCCAGGAGCCAAGATAAAGATCTTCATGAAAGGGGACTGGGGAGTTCGCCCTCCCCAGGAGGCCCAGACAGTCTAGCTCTACTGCTGCTGACAGCCCTGGGAGACACCTGTGGAGCTATCAGGTTGAGAGCCTACCTCATTTTCGCCTGTGGGGGGGGGGGTCTCAGAGCATAGATGGACTCAGCTCAGCAGAGGGAGGAGTCTCAGGCCCTGCCAGGAGTCAAGGTGAGATTCTTGAAGGAGCATTAAAGAAACCTCCCAAACCAGAAAAGAGGGGTCCCAGCTACACCCTGTCCCTACAGTAAGTCCCTGGAGGCCCCTGACTTCCTCCTGGGGAAGCAGAACTGCAGGTCTCAGGGAAGTGAGGCTTGGACAGAGGGTGTGTCTTCAGGTCAGCAGAGAAATGAGTCCCAGTACCTGCCAAGAGCCAAGGTAAGGACCCCGAGGAAGGCCTGAAGGCATCCTTAATCTCAGAACAGAGGGACCCTCAGTTCTCACCACTACCTCCCACCCAACCCTTGTCCCTGCTATCAGCTTTGGGAGACCCCAGGAAGACACAACTTAATAGATATTGTGGCCCTGACTTCTGCTGGGGAGAGTGGTCCCAAGGAGGGCAAGGCCATAATCTGAACGCACTGGACTCAGGTCATCAAAGAGGAGGGCCCATGACCTGTCAGTAATCAATGTGAGGACCCTCAGAGAGGGCTGAGGGGACCCTAGACTCCAGAACAGAGAGTACCCCCACCCGCAGCAGAAACCCACTCTTGCTGTCAGCCTGGGAAAGCCCACGGCAGTCTGGTTGGATGCAGTGTCACTTCACTTCTGCCTTGGGATGCTGAGTTGGGGGTGGGGTGGTGGCTTGGTCTGAGGGTGTGCGTCTTCAGGTCAGCAGAGCAAAAAGACTAAGGCTCTGCCAGACGTGAAAGCTAGTAAGGACCCCGAGGGGCGGCCGACGGACTCTGGGCCACACAACAGAAGGGACCCCACCGAAGGCCGCCCCTGCCGTCAGTCATGGGAGGCCCCCTAGCGGGATGACCACACGAGGCTGTTTCTGGTTTTTTACATCCGGGCTTGAGAGCCTGGGGACTTGGGATAAGGAGCAGGGCCTCAGACTGGCAGAGGGGACAATACAGGTTCATCCTGGTGCCGAGGTGAGGATGCAGGGGAAGGACTGAGGGACCCTAGACCCCACGACAGAATCGGGCCCGGGACGCCCAGAGAAAGGGATTTCCACGCGTGGCTTTTCCTGACTCCCACATCCGGGTCTCAGACAAACCGCCAAATCCGGGGTCTCAGACAAACCGCCAAATCCGGGGCTCAGCCCGCCAACTTGGTATAAGTAGCAGGACCTCAGGCCCGCAGAGGGAGAGCCCGGGCCTTCTGAGGAGTCGCGGTGAGGAGCCGTGGGAGCAGACGGAGTGACCCCGCCCGAGATCGTGCCAACGCCCAGCCTTCCCTGTCCCTCCTGTCCCTCAGCCAGGAGAGGACCTGAAGCTGTGTGGCTGCGTCAGCTGAGCCCCCATTTCCCTCTGTGGTCTCACACGGAGGCGAGGCCTTTGTGTCCGGAGGGGGGCCTCGGGGAGACCGGGGGAAGCCCTGCCGGGCATCCCGGTGGAGAGGGAGCAGACCCCACATGCCAGGGCAGGTGGACCCCACAGTGTTTGCTCATCCCTTGCTGTTCCCCCTGGGAGGCCCTGGGCAGGTGTGGCCAGATGGGGGGCCCCCTCACTTCTTTCTGTTCACTCTCAGGGGTGTGTCGTCTTGTTCTGAGAGCTTTGCCTAGGGACAGCAGACGGGGGAGCAGGCCCTGCCAGAAATAAGGGGAGGACCCTGAGTCAACACAGAGGGGACCACACCCCCCAGAACAACGGGACCTCCCAGGGTCCAGCGCACCCCTCTCGTCAGTACTGGGGGCTCCAGGCTGTGCTTGCCTCTGCACCCTGACGCGCCCCCTCATTTCCTCCTACAGGGGCTCCAGGAACCAGGAGGTAAAGGTCTGAGGTACGTGAACCCACATCACAGAGCAGAGGAGGCCCAGGCAGTGTCAGCAGTCCAGGTGAGGTGCATGCTCGGAATGTGTCCCCAGGGGCTCCCCCACCCCAGAACAGAGGGGACCCCACTGTCAGCCCCAGAACCTTGGGAGTGCTGGCTGTACCCTGAGGAGCCGTCTCACTTCCTCCTTCAGGATCTTACGGGACAGCGCGCTGAGGAGACCCAGGCCCGAGAGCACCCACAAAGAGGAGACCTGTAAGTCGCCTTTGTCCGAGCCTCCTAAGGTGGCTTTCTCAGCTGAGGCCACTCACACTCCCTCTCTCCCCCAGGCCCGTGGGACCCCATCGCCCACCTCCTGCCCATACTCCTGTGGCGGCCTGACACGCGTCATCATGCCTAGAGCTCCGAAGCGACGACGCTACATGCTGGAAGAAGACCTTGATTCCGCAAGTGAGGCCCAGGGCCTCTTGGGTGCACAGGTTCCCGAGGCTGCGGAAGACGATGCTTCCTCATCCTCCTCTACCACCTCCTCCTCTTTCCCCTCCTCTTTTCCCTCCTCCTCCTCTTGCAATCCTCTGAGTTTCAGCCCTCCAAGCACCCCGGAGGAGTTTTTTCCTGTTTCTGCCACACTGAATCCTTCCCTGAGCTCTCTAAGTGTCAGCTGCCCCCTCCCTGCTCCTATCTCCACCCCATTGAGCCAATCCATGTGCCAGGAAATGGAGGTTTCCCATGCCTCACCGGCCCTGCCACACCCCGAGCCCTTGCCCAGATATGTGATTGATGACAATGTCTGTGACCTGATGGGGTTCCTGCTCCTGAAGTATCGCACAAAGGAGCTGACCACTAAGGCAGAAATGCTGAGTAGGGTCATCAGAGAGTGTCAAGATCACTTCTGTCAGATCTTCTGTGAAACCTCTGAGTGCCTGCAGCTGCTCTTTGGCATTGATGTAAAGGAAGTGGACTCCATCAACCACGTCTATGTCCTGGGCACCACCTTAGGCCTCACCTATGATGGGATGGGGAGAAATATGCGTAGCATGCCCAAGACCGGCCTCCTGGTGCTTATCCTGTGCATAATCTTCATGGAGGGTGACCGTGCCCCTGAGGAGGCTGTCTGGGAAAAGCTGAGAGGCATAGGGGTGTATGCTGGGAGGGAGCATTACATCTATGGGGAGCCCAGGGAGCTCATCACCATAATTTTGGTTCAGGAACAGTACCTTGTGTACCAGCAGGTGCCTAATAGTGATCCTGCTCGTTACGAGTTCCTGTGGGGTCCCAGGGCCCACGCTGAAACCACCAAGTTGAAAGTCCTCGAGTTTTTGGCTGAGACCAATGGGCGTGACCCCAGGTCTTTCCCAGTCTGGCATGAGGAGGCTTTGAGAGATCAGGAAGAGAGAACCCAGGCTGGAATTGCCACCGATATGGCCAGCGCAAGTTCTAGAGCCATGCCCAGTGGGTTCTCCCGCCAGGAGTGAATTCCAAGGCACATTCTTTCCTTTGTGTTTTAAGAGGGCAGTCAATGATCTAAGTAGTGGAGGGCTAGCTAGGCTGGGGCTGAAGGAATCATAATGAATAACATCTTTGTGTTCCTGTTGCATAGGGGTGACTTAGAAATGTATCTTTTATTTGTTGTATTTTAAAGTGTTACATTAAGTATAATGTTTATTAGCTTCAGAATCTAACTTTATAAATGACATAGGTCGCACATGTATTGCTATTTATCTAGTTTAAAAGAATGAGTTTTGCTAAAAACTTTGTTTTCCCAAACAAAGTGGGAAACCTTACTTTTTTTTTTTTTTAGCTGAGCCCTCCTGCCACCTGTTGGCAGCTCAGCGGCTGCTCAGCTTGGGCTGGGAATCGAACCACTGTTGCTCAGAGCTCAAACTCTTGAGCGAGCTCTTAACCAACTGAGCCACTCGGCCAGCCCAAAACCTTACATTTTGTTTGTAGTCTGTCACAAGATAACATGGCATTGGAGTAGGAATTTTTTTTGAAAATGTGAAAGAACTTAGTAGTAAAATAGAGAAAATTTTCAATTCTTAATTTTTTAAAGATAAGGAAACATTTTATTTTAAAAAAGATTTTATGTATTTTTCTTTTTTAAATAATTGTCTTATTCTTCAATTACAGTTGTCATACAACATATTGATTAGATATTTTTAGTTTGGCATTCTGTAAAAGTAAAAAATACACATACCTGGATTTTCTCAGCTTATTCAACATGTAGAAAAATAAATAGTAATAAATAAAATCTCTGTTCACTGGCTCATTTCTGTCCTCAAACAGTCACTGAGCCTCTGTCCTCTGGAAGGCCCTGTGTTAGTAGTGGGGACACTAGGATCAGCAGGACACACCCACCCATAGAATGAAATGTCGGAGCCCCAGTCCTATAAGGCAGGCAGGTGGTGAGGGGTCCCCTCAGTTCTAGGGAACAAGTGAAAGAAGGGGAGACGCGGTGGGGCTCCAGGGGAGAGCACTCAATTGTAAATGGCTGGAGCCAGGGCTGTTTGGGTCTTTGGGAAACTGATTCCCTCTGTGGGGGTTGACAGAGCTGAAGATGGTGGTGGGCGTAGCCAGAGTGGGCAGATGGTGCATCTTGGGTGTGAGATGAATGTTGGAAAAGGAAAATTGCGCTGACAAGTTCCCTTGGATCATGGAGAAACCAGAGAGGAACCTCCACCTGGGTAGCAAGGGTGGGTGCCTGCACTCAGTCCCAGTGCCTTTGGACCTAGTATGAGGCCCAGGGGTTTTATCCCCGTCCTGTGCATGGATTTCTAGAGAAATACGGTCACTCTCCCTTGGGGTGTGGCCCAGAAGTCCATGGACAGGCAGTCTTCTCCGTGGCATGGGAGAACCAGAGCGCACAGCATTCATTAGGTTTTAATTAGGATTTTAATGATCTTGAATATAATTTGGCCAATTATAACCAAGGGCTAGATTTTTGGTCGGGGGGGAATGAATGAAAGGAGTGCTTTGGATGGAAGAGCAGGTTGGAGGGAGGGAATGGGTTGGTCCTTGACTTCCACCTAGGAACTTTGTGTTGTATTCAGCTGGGAGGGTGCCCACACCTGAATTTGAACTTACATCCTTTAAACAGGAAAATTTACTTAGTTTTATTAATGAAACATCATTTATGGATGATTGGCTATCCCATATCCTACTGAGCTGCATATTCTCTAATATCACCTGGGTAACAACCAACTAAAGTCCCAGAGGAGAGAATGGAAGGGTCTGGGATCAAAACAATAGTAGAAATAACTGCCACTTGTCCAAGTTCCAGTGTACACCAGGCACTGTGCGAGTCGCTTTACAAACACTCCATACTCTCCTGCAGTCCTACAGGACAGGGC